ATTCTTTGATAAAGTTCCTTTGTTTAAATATGGGCTTCCTGTGGGCCTTACATTTGGTGACCGGTTAGCAGTGTGCTGGCCATCTTTGGTTTATAAAGGATGTCTTAACCATGAACTATCAAAGGGGCTAAAATCAACTTTCTTTAAAATTCTAGTATTGTTCTTTTACTCAATCTTTTATCTATACTATATCACTGCACATGAATTAGAACCGCACATCACAAAATTGCACAGGGATTACAAATATTACATCCAGTCTGCATAAAATCGAATTCCACTACCGACCAGATCACAAAATGGCTGCACTCTCTAATCTAAAACTAATTTGCATATTGTACACATGTAGGACATTGTTTTTTAACTTGAAGTCACAATAATGCATGCAAGTTTGCTTTTTTTAAACAAATTTTATAATTTGTTCATGCTACCTAGTTCAAGAGAGCTTTTTTGAACATTTGCAATACCTCACCTCTTGTTAATAATTCTAGTGCATGCATATGGTGTATACAGGTAAGTAAACATGCATTTTTTTTTCACATTCTAAAACTATGGCAGTTTAGGCCATATTGTGCTGCCTGCATTTTATCTGCAATGCAGTGTGTCTCTAACGTTTTCAATCCCGTATTAATAGGTGGCATTTACACATAACACCTATATAGCAGCAAAGCTAATACAGCTTGTGATTAAAAATGTTTAAAAATAGCTAATAAATCAGATTATCTTGAGGTATTATTTCTTGCAAGTCAAAATGGAGAGCAAAAAAACAACCCTAATTTTTTAGTTTATGTATACACTGAAAATAGCAACAATAAAAATAAGCCTTTGTAGCAGACATATTCCATCTTCACTATTATTTTGCTACCTTTGGTAAATTACTGGGGCAGATCTTAAAGTTAAAAACCCACGTTTAGAAATAAGTGCACGCTTCACCCACTATATAGCAGCAGACTGTTTGCCCCTACGCAAAACATTCTCATATCTAACTTTAACTTTACATATAAAAATAACTTGGAGAAAATACAAAAGAACATTTTATTTTAACATGAAAATATCACAAAAATTAGTAAGCCTGAGATGTAGGGTTTTGGTGAAAAACAAGAGGCTTGTAGTGTTTTGGCTGCTGATAAAGATGCATGTATTGATAGCTGGGGTGAAAGCAGAAGAATGCACTTATTTCTTCTGCATGTCAGTATCTTCAGACACAGTAAGCCACATGCACCCTTTCTTTCCTTGTTGAACAGAGGCCGGTCAGCTGTTCTTAGTTCCAGCGGAAGTGGATCTGACGTGGGCGATCAGCGCCTTCCTTTACCAATGGCTTATGGAACTCACGTCCTGCACGGGAGTGGATATTTGCCCAACAAAACTCACAGTAATACTGCAGGCAAGTGACATTGGCACAAAAAAAGGGAGCAAACTTGCCGCCACAGCGTGCGCCCTGGCACTCATCACACATCTGGTCATCCAGCACATATGGCTTCACCTCCACCTAGAAAGAGAGGGAAGACAAGGCCCGTCAAGTCACCTCAGATGCTGCTTTAGCATTGATTTAAGAGGTTCATGCAGTGTTCTAGAGAGGTGGAGCGGCACTCAATGCTGAAGGGAGGAGGCAGTTTCCTAGGGCGATAGCTTCCCATGGTGGTTTAATCACAAAGTCATGACTGACTCTTGAGATCCCATAGACTGTAGCCTGCCAGGCTCCTCTGTCCACGGGATTCTCCAGGCAAGAATACTGGAGTAGGTTGCCATTTCCTTCTCCAGAGTATCTTCCTGACCCAGGAATCGAACCCAGGTCTCCTGCATTGCAGGAAGAGTTTTTACCAACTGAACTATGAGGGAAGCCCAGCTTTACCACCTTGTAGGTTAAACAAAGTACATCATTTTGTTCTTGTAGTAATCTTTTTATACGTCTTAGGTTCATAATTGACCATGTGATTCAATAAGCACTTAGTGTGGTAATTTTATTGTATTTTGATATATTTCTTCTGAGAACTATTAACTGCATACTATTTACATAACTTTACTCCCCAAAGACAAAAAATAATTTATAAAAACTATAAAATCCTAATTGATTCACAAAACATTCCACCCTCACCTTTTTTGAAGTTGACATCTTTAAAACGCCTGTGTGTTGATCTTTTCAGAGATGAGGGTAACTGTGAGTCAAAATGAGCAGGGCATGTAAGACAAATGCACTTGCACCTTTGTTCTCTCTTCCCAGCCCCACCGGTGGGATGGAAAACCGTAACAGCCCCTGGTCCTGGCAATGCTGCTCTCCTGCAGGTGAGCTGAAGCCCTGCTCAAAAATAACTGGTGCCAACAAACCAGAGCTGTGGATGACTCTATGAAGGGCATGTCCAGACTTCTGAGAACTAGTAACACAGAAGTCAAAGTCCCACTGTGAAAGCATGACTCAGGAGAAGGTCTCACTTAAGTCAGCTCTTGATGCTAAACCTCTCGACCTCAGTTTCCGTACCTGTGAGATGAGAAAGGCACTAGACCCTGCTTCCTAGAGTGGTGAGGATTAGATGATGCAAGCAGAAGCATGTAAGACAGTGCTTGGTACCTGGTAAATACTCTGTAAATTAGCACTGGCCACTATTAGCTGCAATGGCCTTACTTTCTGGCTTATGAGAACTTTATGAATGACAGGTTACTGCTTTTATCTGACTGAATAGTGCCAAGCAGTCTAAGATCTTTGCATTTCCTGAGAGGAGAGAAAATTGAGTGTTTAAATGGCTTAGTTTGCCCAACATAAAAAAAAATAATGACCTGATTCTATTTTGAGTGTATTCTACTGAAATACTTGCATGTGTATAGAAAATAAATATATAAGGGTATTTTTTCGGCATTATTTTGAACAAAAACAATAACAAGAAACTGGAAACCACCTAGTTGACTGATGAAAAGAACTATAAAACATTTGATAGAAAAGTAATGAAATAACATTTTTGTTTGTATTTGTATTGTGTTGGTCAAAAAGTACATTTTCAGTACGATCTTATGAAAAACCCAAAGGAATTTTTTGGTCAACCTAATATTTTATGGTTAGGGTTAGGAAAAACATGAAAAAAAAAGTGAAAGTTAGTTGTTCAGTCATGTCCAACTCTCTGTGACCCCATGAACTGTGGCCCACCAGGCCCTTCTGTTCATGGAATTCCCCAGGCAAGAATACTGGAGCGGGTTGCCATTCCCTTCTCCAGGGGATCCTCCCAACCCAGGGATCGAACCCAGGTCTCCTGCACTGCAGGCAGATTCTTTACCGTTTGCGCCACTAGACTGTATATTTTATATATATTGGACATTTTGCTTTCCTGAACTGTCTATATTTTTTGCATATTTTTCTGCTGGTGTTTTCTTTTTTAAAACTAACTTATAAGTCCTTTTTGCCAGTTAAGGATTTTTAATCTTTCTTTCCATTGGCTTTTGATTTTTAAAATGATCTTTGACACAAATTCTAAAATTCGTATGCTCCATCTTGGTCTCCTACCTTTTTCCTTTACAGATTCTACCTTGATCAGCAGGCTATTATTTTTGGCTCATTACCTCATTATAACTATAACTAAGGAAGCGCATTACTGTAACCAAAGAAGAGGTCAAGGCGTCATCGGAACTCGGGTCTCACTTCACTGGAGGGTAAACTGTGAGCGAGAGGACCGCCTGCATTTGCTCAGTGGTCAGTACTATCTGGCAGCACATATAACACAAAGCTGAAACTACAGAAATGATTTCAATTATCTGTATTTTTAAATTCTAGATGTTATTTTATACAGCTGATCTGGCGAACTACAGTCCATGGGGTCACAACAAATTGGATTAAGTAAGACTCAGTGAGTGAATGACAAACAACCAATCTACTTAATTTAAAACCTACAAAGATGAAAAAATGGATTTCAAATCTATGATTTTATAATATAATCAAAACCTATTTGTGATTCATAATCTCTATCAATGCTTGAATGTGTGAAAGGGAGTTTCAATGATTCTTCATGCTTTTTGTTTCTTCATTAGAATGTCTTCCCTTTTCCACTACAGAAGAACTGTGACACACCATCACCTAGATTCATAACTAACAAAATAACTAATAATTAGCCAATCTGAAGTATCACACAATTCATTTCAGTAACTACCAGAAGCCAGAGTGAATTATACTACCCATTGAATAAAATATAATAAATAAAAATGATTTATACATTTGTGGTGACTGTTCTTCACAGCTATTGGGAAGATGAAACTAAATTTCAAAGTACTCATGAGCCTAAAAATGCATTGAATAAACAATTTTAATTCCCTCCAAATAAATATACTATCTTTGTATTTCAGATAAATTTAAATGTAATCTGCTTTTATGGTTCAATTAGTGAGATGAAAGGTATAAAGATTAGTAATTCAATTTTTTTGTATAATGACTTATAAAATATTTAAGGCTCAAATCCTTTCCAATAAAGTTGAAGGCATATCATACCTTAGTAGCACATATTTTTAAAAAGCAAACATTTCTCTCAGTAGTTCAAGGCCTTTTTAAGAAGCGTTTCTCAATTCACTTGCTTTGCATCGAGGTTTCTCTTTAAGAATCAATACTCTGCCCGAAGTAATTTTGTTCGACAACATCATTTTGGAAGCAAAGAATGAGGTACGACAGCACAGTAATTGTTTTCCTGCTTCTGTGTATGAAACCCTCTCACTTGTCTGAAAAAGCAAGTGAGATCAGCTGAGACCAGCTTGGTGGTCTAAAGCACAGCTGACTAGAGGAGTGGCATAAAGCACGGCTGAGCCTCAGAATCACCCAGAGGCTTTACACATCACTCCTGCCCTGGGTGCATTCCAGACAGCTACCACAGAACCTCCGAGGGCTGGGACCCAGACGTCGAGGCTGTCCTCATTCCCAGGCAACTTTACTGTGCAGTGCAGGTTGAAAACCAATGGATGAGAGGGACTCTAAGGTTCAAATCAGTTAAGAAAAATTTTCATAGCATGTCTAGATAAAAGCAGAGCTCCGTTTCTTAGATACTTACTTATTTTCTTTCTTTTTTGGGGGCAATATTTTAAGTAACAATGGCAAACAAGCATGCCACTTTGTACATGTGAACTAAACTGATGCTGTACTTTGCTCCTAAACGGCATGGCTTCATAATTAAATTGTGACTACTCCTAGAGTCTATGGTCTAGTCAACAGGTATTAATTAACCAGCTCCTCTGCCCCTAAAATAGTCTTTCAATTTGCAAACAGCCCCAGAGAATAAGCTTCAAGAAACTTACACTGGGAAAACAAGAACCCACTCAAGTTATATCTACTGTAATGGATATAAGAAAGTTAATTTACCACATGTTTTTAGTATATCTCATCTGTACTACAAATGTAAACATTTGTACTTCCTGATTATTCAGGAAGTACCCACAATTTTATAGCATGAAATAGATTTGAAAATAATCAATTGAGTTTTGTTCACTTCTTCTTCCTATTTTAAATGGTTGGTAATAAGTATTAGAAATTATTCAGTAGGGGGGCTTTCATTTATAATCCATAGGATGTCCTGAAAATTTTTACTATGATGACCTAGCACTGCTACTAGACAGTAAATGTTTTAAAGTTTAGAGCAATCACCTGTGTATTTAGTTTATCTGTATATTTGGCTTATTTAGATATTTACATTTGTTATTGCATATATTTAGGGAAATATACACAATGGGTTTTACTTTAGATTTTATGAAAAATGAAAAGTAAGTAACATTTAACACTAGTGCCTATCTCTGTTCTGAGTGCTTCTACAGATGTGAATTCATTTATTCCTCAAAATAACTGTGAAAGAGATACTATTATTGTTTTCCATCTTGTGCGTGAAAAATAAGAGGTGTGAAGAAGGTTCATTTGCCCAGGGTTACTGAGCACAGGGTGGAAATGGGATCCCAGGGAGCCTGGCCCCAGAGTACAAGCTCTGCCTCCACAGTTAGAAAGATATTAAGACATCTTGTTGGCTGATATATTTTCTGAAATGGCTTTAAAATGATATTTAAATTCTGTATATCATGCCTAAAGTTTAATGTCTGGTCAAGAATTTCACAATTCAGGGATCTTTTGATATAATACTCTTTAACAGCTAAAGGAGTATAAAAATAAGCACTCAGTTTCTGAATTGCATTATTAACTTTGTAGGAGAGCAAGCTTTGGAAAGTGTGAAAGTGCAAGTGTTGGTTACTTAGTTGTGTCCGACTCTTTGTGACCCTATGAACTGTAGCTGCAGGCTCCTCTGTCCATGGAAATCTCCAGGCAAGAATACTGGAGTGGGTTGCCATTACCTTCTCCAAGTGATCTTCCTGACCCAGGGATCGAACCCAGGTCTCCTGCACTGCAGGCAGATTCTTTACCATCTAAGTTACCAGGGAAGCCCAGTAAGCTCTGGATCAGCAGTTTATTACAGGACTTGAATGATTTTCCAATATGCAACTTACACGTTTATCAATATCACCGTGCTGAAGCTGAACGAACCGAGCACTGATGGCAGCAATGTAGCTCTGCTGATTGGAGAAAGCAACTCGACCAGCACCTTTTGGATATTTCAGCTCTGGATCTGTATCAATCCCTGCATAACACACTCCACCATACAGCCGGTCCATGATCATAGCAAGCTCCACTGGAAAACGAAAAGAAGTGCACATCAAATGGGAGAGAACACAGTGAATCAACAGTTAAAGTATGTTTTTAAGTGAAAGTCAATAGGATAATGCTCTCTTCTAGACCCAGTCCTCTGTCTTGCACACGGGAGCCCATCCGCTCTCGCCACAGAAGTGTGTAGCACTCAGCTGTCCACTGGACCAGTCACGCTGGTATCTAACAGACACTGCAGCACACACTGTGTTCTACATGGTGTTCTTGGCCTTTCGCCATCTGTCTAAGCATGCCCCAGTGTGTTTTCACTGACTCATTACTGATTTATGGAAAATATGGAAAAGATGAAGCTGCCAACTCAAGAAGCTTGGCTTCATCCTTCTTGTTTTTATCTGTTTCCCATGGTGCATGCAATCCCATGAACTTGATTTTCAGACATATCTAGAATCCAACCACTCTCCCTCCATGACTAACATCCTGTTTCAAGGTATCGTTATTTTTTATCAGATCATGGCAATAGCTTTATCACTTCATTTCTGATCCGTGCTCCTCCCACTCCCCAGTTTATTTTCGAAACAGCACCAAGAGTGATTCTCTTGAAGATATAGCAGATACCAATGGTTTAACTGTAATTTCTGCTTTGGAACTCTTAATGGAGGCACAAACTAGTCTTCAAAACCACAATCTTCTTCCAACTTACTCCAGTGTTCTTGATCTTCTCGGTAATAGTACCATTGTCCACCTAGTAGCTTAAGACTGAAAACTGAGATTAAGCCTCTGTGTCTACCTCATAAATACCTGTAACACTCCTTGTTCACTTACTTCTTCTACCACCACCACCACTAATTCAAGCCACTGCTAACTGTCTCCTGGACTGTAATAACAGGCTCCTGAATTGGTCCACCTATATCTACTCTCAACTCGACTCTCCCCTCCACAAGTCATCAGCTAAACTAGTCTTTCAAAAACGCAAATATGATATGTCTCTCACCTTTACTTAAAAACTCTTCATTTCCCACTACTCTGAGGATAAATATCAAATTAGCTGTTAAGACTTTTATGATCGGACTGCTTTTACTTTTTCAGTGTCTTCTGTCTCTCCTTTCATTCCTTATACCCCAGGTGGTGACTCTGGGCTCCCCTCAGTCCCTCTGATGCACTCGGCCTCACTCCACCAAACATCTTTGAGTATGCTGACCCCTTTGTCTGAAACACACTCCACACAGTCTCCTTCTGTTCGATCTTCATATGTCAGCTCAAATACAAGTAGTTTGAAAATATTAGGCCACATCACATGTCCTTGCTTTATGCCATTCTGTTTCCTGCAGTGCGTCTCTGTAGCAGGTACACCTATTAAGTATTTACACATGTGAACAGTCCTTTAACATGCACCTCCCATGCTGGAAGAGGGTGTTCTCAGTGATGCGAAGAGCTAACACACTTCACAAGGGTGCACACTATCATAAGACCTGCTTGTACTGTGGGCATTTATGTCTATAATTATGTACCATATGACATCTTCTGGTAGATCTCTGGATTCTGATGCCTGATGAACAGAAGTTTATCATTAAATTATCTAAAGTGTCTTTCAGATATCAGAATCAACTTGCATCAAATAAACAGACCCCAAATTCTCACATCTTGGAGAGTTACACTTAAGCGGACTTAAGGGCCTGAGTGGATTCTCCTTATAGAGTCTATCTGGAGTTAACTATACATATTGATAGATGGTTGTATTATTCTCCAGTTCCTTAATGGTCTCAAGAGCAGTTTTTAGAATTTGTCTCAATTCTGCAGCAGCAGCTGTTGGCGGAGAATCTGCCCTTCGCTGATCCAGTGGTGACATGTACACACCAATGTTTACTGAATCAATTCATGTTTAAATGATTTTTGTAAAGAAACAAAATTTGTTCACATTCTACTTACCAGCCCGTAATGGCCTAGGAACACCTCCAACAAAAATTGTTTTTCGAGGATCCAAAGGCTGAGAACCATCCATCACAAAATCACTATCACTCAAATTCCAAGGACGGATCTGAACCTGTGAAGAAGATGACATTACCGTCTAAGGTCTCGCTTCTTTAATAGCTGATGAGCTTTCTGCCAATTGTGGTGCTTTCATAATTCAGAATTTTGGATAGATGGTTTTGGAAACAAATTGTTAATATTTTAATCTAGATACTGTAAGTTATATGAACTTTTAAAAACTGAACTCTTAACGCAGTAGTTTTTTCACTAATAATCATTTCAAAACAGTTTTTGGAAAACTTTCATCTGTAGCTTCAAGTTCGAGTAGCATTTACTTACAGGTTTGTCCTTGATGGTTGGGCTGGAAACACACAGATAGAGTTTTCCATCCTCTTCAATACAAGCATCAATCAGTGCCTGAACAGAGCTCTCTTCTTGAAAGAGAAGGAATGCATAGCCTATAACAGCCATGAAAATGAGGCAGTAAGTCAAGGTCAGTGATTTCATCCCAAACTTCAGTACTGTTTAGAAAACACATGACTTTGAAGTAGATAAAAAATGAACTATCAAATAGGACTACAATCATCATGTTTCTATTGGAGAACACAACATCCTATAGAATATACACAATACAAATACTCAGTAAATTAGCTACTTTGTATAGAGCATTTAGTATCTGATACTGTACTAAGAGCTTCACATAAATATTTGATTTTCAGGGTAAATCTATCAAACTTTATTCCCAATTTACAGAAAAAAAGAAAAAGAAAAACAAAACAAACCCTGAGGTGTCAAGTGGTTGAATTACTTGCCCAAAGTCAGTCACATAAGCAAGTAGTTGGCTGATTAATTTCAAACCTAGATCTGCTCTAAGGTCTCCCGTGATACTGTCTCCTTAAAGAATTTGGCTGGATTAACCAGTTGAGCCCAGCAGAAGCTACAATTTTCTTCATGTGCCCTCAGGGAAAGACAAATTCTAGAGCATACTTTTGGGCAGGTGGAAGGAGCACATGTGGAAAGGCCCTGGAATTCCTGTAAGTAGAGGAAAATTCCACAGTCAACCTGACCACTTCCAAATGATACTAAGAAAACTCCCTTAGGGAGGCTGGAATGAAACAGATTCCTTCAGGATGGGTCAGACTTTTAAATCAAGTCTCAAAGTGGCTGAGCAGCAGAACACTTTTTCCAAACAGTCTGGAGACTGGGTTTGCACTTTGGAGTCAAGTTCTTGCTTAGATTCCTATGCTTTTTTGGAAATATGCCCTTCCTCCTCTCCTTGTGACAACCAGTTGTCAAACTTTAATCAAATATTATGTATCCAGCAGGCAGAACAGACTTCATTATAAAAAGAAGGCATCAAAATTTACAAGTTTACTATTATGTGATTATTCCCAGTAGCAGATAACTGTAAGTGACCCCTTTCCCTTGACAAGATTTCTATGCAAACAAATTTAGAGCAATGAAATCTAGCCCCAGTATGAAAATGCCATCAAACAGGCCATGCATGTCTGTTCCATTAAACAACAGCAAGAGTGAGGGCATGTCTTACTAGAAGTCAAAAAAACAACATTGCCAATAATCACTTTTAGTGCCACAAAGATCTGATATGATACACAAAAGAAATACTTCATTTTAATAAATTTACTATATCTGATTGCACAAATAAGCAATCTAACCATTTCTATTTCTACACAAATAGAAACTTCCATATGTATGATTATGCAAGATCAGAAACATATCTTAGACTTTTATAATTGCTAGAAATAACTTAAGTAGGCTTGAAAAAATGATAAAATAAAGACTGGCTTTCTATATGTGAAGGCATTAATTTTGATACAAGCTATGGTTCTAAGAGCTATAACTGTTTTGTAATAATGGAGGGGTATAAGATCAATTTACTAAAATAGAATTTTAAATTGATTTTTTTATGTTATGTTTTATGATGCTAGTTTTTATATTAATATTTTAAATTGCAAAATAATTTTTATGATTATTAGGAAACATTTGTATCACAAAAATTAATTAAGCAATATGGCAGGTAAATTTTGATCTAGCTAAGGCAAGCCACTAAATATTAAAATAGTCTCGGCAAAAATACCACCTAACGTTCTTTAGAATTTATTAGTGCAAACTAATGTTTACATTCAATCCATGGAGTTGCAAACAGTCCCCCATGACTTAGCGAACAACAACGTTTACACAGGGTGAATCTTATTCACTTTAAAGGACAGGTGTGTATAAGTGTGGTTCAGCATTCAAGGGCTCAAGTCACTACCTCAATTACAAGGCAACTTCATCAACTGGATGTTTCTACACCAGTGTTTACCAAACCACGGAATGATGAATTCCAGCAATGACAAAAATGCATGAACATGAAAGCTTTAGGAACACTGGTCTTTGGCAACGGGTACAATCAACTATAACTGTACCAAATACTATGATTTGCCACTGCTGACTTTTTTTCTTGTTTTCGGTTTGAGAAAATAACCATCACAAAACTACAATAACAATGCGATAGCAACAATGACAACAACTCTTCTGTTTCATGAAATCAGTGTCAACCTACTTCACTAGGCTTAAATCCACCCCTTTATCTGAACAAGAAGTTCATGCAGAAAATGTGTGTGTGTCTTGACAGAAACTAATTCCAGTACCTTTCTAAACTTGTACTTCAATTCCTGCCTGTAACTCTACTGAACAACTTTTTAATCTATATAAATTGCATAGTCTCCTTTAGATTTAGTTCAAATTTTAACAGTGAAGCTTTCTTATACCTACTTCAGGTCAAAGGATAAACCATCCTACAGTATTTCTAGTTGTTTATATTCCTTATCAGGCAACTTTCAACCCATGAATTACTGAGGATACAAAGGTGAGTAAAGACACAGTCTGACAGATTACTGGAAAAATCTGACATTAATAGGTTCTGACATTAATAGACATAACTCTAGCTGTGTTGTGGGAGAAACACTGGGGATATCCAGAGATGTGGACAGACTAAGTCACATGTCTGACATAGTCCAGACAAAGGATGATGGTGATTTAGGCAGAAACACCCAGAACTAACAGGCATTTTTATTGAACATTTGGTAAAATAAACTATAGAAGACAGGGTCGTAACACTGTGAACAACAGATTAAAACCAAGCTAAGAAAGGAACACCTACATCAATACGAAGCTAGCTTTCTCTTTAAACCAAGGATGCAAGACCTCCAGGTCCAGCAAAGTCCAAAATCATGCGAAAATTTAGAGTACATGGAGAGAGGTCCATAGCTAGAAGTAGATTCTAAAAGCTGCCTGAGATCCCGGCTCGAAGGATTCCATAAGATTATTTTTTCCCTTTTTTTCCTGGTAATCTCTAGAATTTTATTTTATTTTTTTCATTTATTTTTATTAGTTGAAGGCTAATTACTTTACAGTATTGTAGTGGTTTTTGCCATACATTGACATGAATCAGCCATGGATTTACATGTGTTCCCCATCCTGAACCTCCCTCCCACCTCCCTCCCCATCCCATCCCTCTGGGTCATCCCAGTGCACCAGCCCTGAGCACTTGTCTCATGCATCCAACCTGGACTGGCAATCTGTTTCTGACAGAATAGCATTGAAACATGTATATTATCAAGGATTCCATAAGATTTAAAGGTTCAGTTCAGTTCAGTCGCTCAGTTGTGTCCAATTCTTTGCAACCCCATGGACTGCAGCATGCCAGGCCTCCCTGTCCATCACTAACTCCCGGAGTTTAGGGTGTATATATATATATATATATATATACACATCTTATATAAATATATATATATAAATCACATATATAAAAATCACTGCATTATTCCATTTCTCTAAAAAACGACATCAACCACTCATGGGAGTTCTGTAATTCTCAATAATAAAAGTAGAGATGGCCTGAACAATTTATCACCAGAAACCCTGAGCTGGTTTTTGGATGCCAATAACTCTGACGTGTTTCCTTTCCCAGAGTCAAAATCAGCTTATTCAATAGATGTACTGGAATCTTTTCCCAGGCTTGAAAAAATCCACTCAGCCATGAGAATAATGGTGTACTTTTTCATTTCTAAAATTACATTTGAATGATATTCAAAGTAAAGTCTTTCAATCTCCCCCTTTCTTTTATTCACCTACAAGGATCTGCCATGACTGGCTGGATTCAGGCTAAATTCTCTCCCCCTGCTCACTCCAGGCAGGTGATTCGTCCTCTGCCCACTGATGGTGGCATCACTTTGCTCAAAGGAATGTTAGATCCATCTGTGATGCCTCTTCTCTGGATCAGTCACCACAGTATCCTAGCACTATGTAACTCTGCACACCTTATCTCTTTATGTAACTGAGTTTTTCCTGACCATTCATTTTCTTCTCTATCTAAATTTACCAACAGAGCATATACTGATCTCTTGTCATCTCTGGAACACTTAAGGACATCTTGCAATACTTAAAATATTCATGGGTTTATATTTTATTCTCACTTCATACATTTAACAACCTCAGATATGCAGATGACACCACCCTTATGACAGAAAGTGAAGAAGAACTAAAGAGCCTCTTGATGAAAATGAAAGAGGAGGTGAGAAAGTTGGGTTAAATCTCAACATTCAGGAAACTAAAAGCATGGCATCTGGTCCCATCACTTCATGGCAAACATATGGAGAAACAATGGAAACAGTGGCTGACTTTATTTTGGGGGCTCCAAAATCACTGCAGATGGTGACTGCAGCCATGAAAGTAAAAGACGCTTACTCCTTGGAAGGAAAGTTATGACCAACCTAGACAGCATATTAAAAAGCAGAGACATTACTTTGCCAACAAAGGTCCATCTAGTCAAGGCTATGGTTTTTCTAGTGGTCATGTATGGATGTGAGAATTGGACTACAAAGAAAGCTGAGCACCGAAGAACTGGTGCTTTTGAACTGTGGTGTTGGAGAAGACTCTTGAGTCCCTTGGACTGCAAGGAGATCCAACCAGTACATCCTAAAGGAAATCAGTCCTGGGTGTTCATTAGAAGGACTGATGTTGAAGCTGAAACTCCAATACTTTGGCCACCTGATGCAAAGAGCTGACTCATTTGAAAAGACCCTGATGCTGGGCAAGATTGAAGGCAGGAGGAGAAGGGGACAACAGAGGATGAGATGGTTGGATGGCATCATCGACTTGATGGACATGGGTTTGGGTGGACTCCGGGAGTTGGTGATGGACAGGGAGGCCTGGCGTGCTACAGTTCATGGGGTCGCAAAGACTCGGACAGGTCTGAGCGACTGAATTGACACACTTCTTAATTTCACTGAGCAGAGAAATTTTTTTAAATGTCTGTGCCCAAGGTACTGAGAAGTACACCTTAGGCAGAAAAAAGACTCAAATATTTGTTGATACAAGCCTTTGAAAGCATTATCAAATCATTATAGAGAAGGCATAGCAAGTCTCTGATGATTCTTGACCAGCTTGAAGTGAAACTGAAATAGTTTTCAGAAACATTCTGCCTCACTCGATACATTGTTACCGACCTCTACAAATTACTCTATTAGCTTTTATACAAAGATGTACTTATATTCAATTCTAAAAGAAAACAGAGAGTAACTGATACTATTTCTTTGTGAAAGGGAAAGGGTCTTCCCCACTCAGTGATTGAACCTAGGTCTCCTGCATTGCAGGCAGATTCTTTACTGTCTGAGCTACTAGGGAAGACCAATTGTTTCTTCAGCTCTCATTTAACTTATTCCCTAGCAAAGAATAACAAAAAAAAAAAAAAAAAAAAAAAATACCACTGATTAGTAACCGAAAAAAAAAAAAAAAAAAAAAAAAAAAAAAAAAAACCCTCTTACCTTTTGGTGGAAAATAGGACTTGCTTTCTGCTTTATGAGGCCAATCCACGACCAAAGGTCCAAATCTTCTGAAGCTAGCAGTTATTTCATCTTAAGAAAGTACAATAACATGCATTAGGAATTAATTTTAATGATTCATTCTAAAAAAATCCTGTATTTTACGTTATTTTAAAAGATTTAATATTTTAAAGTACCAAATAGCCTAAGATGGAGTTTGTGGACATTTGAATTATAACTGAAAAAACTCCCAAAATGTAGTAATATTTTCTCCATTATTGCATTGTAAATGAGTGGCAGATTTCCCACAGTCTCACAAGTATTAGTTTCAGTATTTTAAATTTATCTTGAATTATCTTTCTTTAGTTATTATAACACAGGATAATTTTTACATATACTTATTATTCTTTATAAAATCTGAATTTTCTGTTTATGTACTATTTCCATTCCTTGTTTAGGTTGTATAGTCTCTCTATTTCTAAAACTACATTTACACAAGTTGAATTTTTGATTCTTATACATTAAAGTTTTATGGTTGGTTACCTTTAATTCATTGTGTGTGGTGTGTGTGTGTGTGTGTGTGTGCACATGCACGCATGCATTACATCATATGGAAAGTTTTTATGTATGGTTATGTTACATACATACAAAAAGTTTGGTCATATGTGTTATAGTCATACAAAAAGTTTTAAATAAATACATAAAACAAAAAGTTTAATGTATTTAAACATGTTCTATATTTAAAAAAATAACAGATATGAACTACATGAAAATCTGATTTATAAAAAATGCTCATAGTAACAATAGGTAAAAGATAAAAAGTAAAGAAACAAACATATCCCCATTCACACTATATTTTAGGTTTTTTTCTTAGTATCACAAGTCATCATTTTACCTTCGTCAATGTCTGGAGGAAGACCACCAACAAAAACTTTTCGAGAGAAACGTTCTATTCGCTCTCCATTCTGATGAGCTGAATAACATGTGGGTGAATTTAAAACACCAACTTGATCATTATGCCCATCATCCAGCAAGCCATCATCTATTGGAAAGAGGGAAGAACGACCTAAAATATAAGAACAAATATAACCTGAATCTCAGATCTAAGAAAGTGATAAAAGTCAGGAATAAAAAGAGAAACAATAAATTAAAGGCTTAAAAATGAAAGTGGAAAAATAAAAAAGAAAGTGACATAGGTATCAAAAATTAAGGAACATTCAGATACCTTAAATGTTCAATTACTTGAATTCAAGAGAGACGTTGTCTGAAGGATGACTTAGAAACAAACATGGTCATATGACAACAATTATGTCATGGGCAAACAGTAGATCACTTCGAGTTTTTAACGGAAAATGGCAAGAATCTGCTATATAGGGATGGTTAGACTGGATATGTAATGGGAGAAACCTTTTAGAAATTGGTGGCAGAAAGAAACAACACAGACTAAACAGATAAGAAAACAAACAAACAAAAAAGACACTTGTGGACGACAGTAATGCAGGATGAAAGTGCCAAGTTGTACTTGCATATGAGATCTTGATGCATTGCATGTGCGTCAGCTACATGACAGGTGGACAGAGATTCTGCACATGTGCACAACAGGAGACGCTCCCCTCCAGGGCTTTGGTCCCAACCTGAGCCCACCCTTCAGGACACACCCTTGTACAGGAACAGAATATATAACCCTCTGCAGCAATCCTGATGCTGGATTCTGTGGGGTTCACAATAAATAAATAAGATGACCTAGTAAAACAGTCTCTAAAGTGCTTCAGAGGAAGTGTGCTGGAGGAAGGGAGTAACCTGGCTAATCAGCAGGCAGTTTCTTAAATACCCAAGTGAAACTGGACAGTAGCTGTGGTAAAAGGGGAAAACAGCAGTACTTGGGGAGTTAACAGAAGGTAGGCTAGTAGAATGGGGGGCTTCCCTGGGGGCTCAGATGGGAAAGCATCTGTCTGCGATGCACGAGACCTGGGTTCAATCCCCGGGTTGGGAAGATCCCCTGGAGAAGGAAATGGCAACCCACTCCAGTACTCTTGCCTGGAAAATCCCATGGACAGGGGAGCCTGGTAGGCTACAGTCCATGGGGTCGCATAGAGTCGGACATGACTGAGCAACTTCACTTCAGGCTAGTAGAATATTTGTAAGAAAATGGTTTTGAATAAATTTTTCAAGTGGAAGGAGAAACATAGGAGAGAGAAGGGAAAAATGAATTTATTTAAGAAATAAGAGTCATGTTGGCTGAAACATGTTGGAAAAAAGGAAAATAAAAGCTAGAAAAGCACCCTGGGCTAGACAGAACACTTAGCCTTGAATGCCAGGCTAAAGGACATATTTTATTTAGTCAGTAAAAAAACAAAAAGGAACAAACAAAAAACAACTGAATACAGGCATTCAAGCAAGATAATAACTTTTCCTATATTTTAGGAAGACTCCTCTTGGCAAATATGGTTAACATGGTGAGAAATGAGCCAATGAGAAGTCTTTCAAAAATTCAGGAAGGATGGAAAGCTGGAGGTACCTGAAGCAGTGAAAAGTAGATGGGAAATAAAACAACAACAAAAAAAGAATGGAAAGGAGGAATCAAAAGGTTTTAGAATATGAATGGTAAAAATCATTAACTAAATAAATATAAGGACAGTAAAGACCTGAAACTGGGACAGGAAAGGGAAATGTGTCCTAGACATGTGAAAGTTCAGAAGCTTCAATATCTGAGATGTTCAGAAATGTGAAGAAAGAAGAAGAGTCACATTTCTGAGACAGTAATCTGGGGTCAACTCACCAGTAAACTGGTGAGAGCTCAATGTTCTTTATAACATCACTGATAAGAACCCCAGTGAGAAATGATAAGGAGAGCACCTCAGGAAACTTACAAGGGAGAAATCAAAGAATAAAAAAAGCAATGAAGGAACTATGTGAGATGTTAAGATAATGATTTGAGAAAAATGACAATTTGAAGACATGCATGATCTTTGAATGTAGTAGCATTAGTAAAGCTGCAGGTAGAGCTTTGTGAAGTACAGACATCAAAGAAGTTTATTACAGAAAGAAAAAGAAAATAAGGATATAGGCAAGGTTTATTTTTCCCCAAGATGGAGTAAAGGATTTTTTTAAATGAGGAGAAAATGCATATAATCTGTAGTATGTCTTAGTATATACAAGTTATAAATATTCAACATAAAGTGTCATTAATGTGTTATCACCTTGAAAAGTATGGTACATAACGATGCAACTGATGTAACACAGACAATCTGAAATGTGATGGCCTGCACTGAACTGGGGTTGTTGGGCTGATGAGGGGGTGACATGTCTGTGAGCTATAGCTAGTGCGATGTTAGAAATAAGAATTTTAATTTTATAAGATCAAAAATAGGGGGAAAGATCATATTTGATAGAGGAAACAAATTATTCTGCATATTCAAATTCAATTTAACAAGATGTTCTGAAATATACCCATATTCACTGAGTAAGTCTATGAATATTTAACTTTCCCAATACCTTTGCTATCAGGAATAAGGACCATGAAAAACAAATGTTAATATTCCCCGTGATCAACAGAAAGAAAGCTATTCAAAATGAAACTATTTTCCTTAAAGAGAACCTCATCAAGAACCATCACAAGTAATACTAACTATGAATAACTAGTTCAACTTTCTAGGGTTGGACTTTAAATGAATAATTCTATATTTTAAGAAGGATAAGATGAGGTAAAGAGACAACATCGATATTTAGTTTTTGGCTAAAATGATAAATCCAAATTTTATACTTATTTCAGACATGCCAATACTTAAACAGAAATACTGAATGCAGTGATAAAGAAAATCACTATATAAGCAATATCAGAGAGGTGACCCAAAATGACTTAAAATTTTTCTCTTAACTATAATATTTTAAGTATACTCATTATATACTAATGAATTATTCTCCAGGCCAGAATACTGGAGTGGGTAGCCTTTCCCTTCTCCAGGGGATCTTCCCAACCCAGGGATCGAACCCAGGTCTCCTGCATTGCAGGCATATTCTTTACCAGCTGAGCCACAAGGTAAGCCCTATTCTGTATTACTAACTATAGAATTTTAACTATAGATACTGTCTAAAATAAATATTGCAGTTAATATAGTAACTATCAAAGATCTAAGTGTAATCTATGTCTAAAATCTATTAATCAAAAGTTCAGATGAACAAAAGATACAATGAAAAGGCTGGGAACATGTCATATACTGGCCATACTCATGATCATCTTTATTGCTGGGAAATCATGACCACTTTCCTTCTAGAAGCCATAAAAGCTCTAGAGTTAAATACTCATTTAAAAGAGGAGTTAACTAAACATACATCATCAACAAAAATACTGTTTTTCATCTTTCCAATTATCCTTCCCTGTAACCCAATTAACATGACTATAAAAGAAGAACCACTAAATAATTATGCCTTCCATGTACTTCAAAAATACTTTCTAAGAATGAATAAAAAAGAAAACTAAAATTACCAACACTAAGTATGAAAAAGCAGACATTAATCAACACAAAATGTATGGTTTTTAACAGACTGAGGAAATTCCCATCTATTCCTAGTTTCCTCAGAGGTTTTTTTAATCATGAATAGCTGCTGAATTTTATCAGATATGCTTACTATAACTGTGTTATTTCTATTGCATGCATATATGCACGGTATTTCTAATTCCTTCTGTTTATGTGGTGAATTATAGTAACTGATTTTCAAATGTCAATCTTACATTTCTGGGATAAATCCCACTTAATCATGATACATATTCCATTTCTATAAATTTCTGGATTCAGTGTATCAATATGTTCTTTAGAATTTCTACCTCTATTTCATGAGGGATACTGGTATATAGTTTTCTTATAATATTCTTGTCAGGTTTTAGTATCAGGGTTATAAAATAAGTTAGGAAAAGCTCTACTTACAAACACAAATGCAAGCAAATTAGCTTACACTAAGATATCTAAAATGTACAATAAAATTTTAAAAAGTAAATATGGTAGTTATAATAAATATTATAGACAGAAGCAATAAGAGATGAAAGAGCAAAATAGGACTATATAACGTTGGCCAATCACTGCCAGTGAAAGAGTGTGAGATGGCCTCCATGTTACCAGGCCTATTCAACAGGTCACCAGGATCTCCTTTCAAGATGAAAGCAACATAACAGAATGCATATTCCTGTAACAGGACTCAAAGTACACCACTTCCAAAACCAGGAAATCAGCAAAGATTTTGTAGTTAGAAAAACTGTAGCCACCACAAATATGAGCCTCATTTATGATGTTAATCATGATTTCATGATTCTCTGGGGCTTCCCAGGTGGCTCAGATGGTAAAGAATCTGCCTGCAAAGCAGAAGACCTGGGTTTGATTCCTGGGTCGGGAAGATCCCCTGGAGAAGGAGATGGCTTCCCACTCCAGTATTCTTGCCTGGAGAATTCCATGAACAGAGAAGTCTGGCAGGCTATAGTCCATGGGGTTGCAAAGAGTTGGACATGACTGAGCGACTAACACATACCCATACAATCATGGTTCAAATTACTCACTTTAAAGTATTTTAAAAAAATCATTAGAGAATGCATGGAACTTCTCTATATCCATATAAAAACTGTTGTTCTATACAAGCAATAATAAAAACTCTACTATGAGCATCCTAAACTGAAGACAGAACTAAAGACAAACTTACATACGTGCTTGTATTACTGACAGTTGCGCCTCACTATCTGGTCCTCTGTGTGTGCAGGTGTATGTGTAGCACAAATGGATGCAGGTAGAGAAGTAATGGGCAATTACTAACTTGGACACTGGCGACTATGCTAATATGCCCAAAACTAATCATTATACTTGGCTTTTCAGATGGTAACCTTATTCTAGATGCCCAGAATAAAGACATTTTGCAACACAGAAACACAGCAGGGACAGGCAGGAGAGGAAAACAAAATATTTGTGCAAAACTAGTCAACTTATAGCTTAAAGGTAAGCATGGTTCTTTGATTTTAATGTATATCCTGTACTTTTATTTACTGATTGTTGGTTTAAAAATTAAAGCAAATGCAAAACAAAG